ACCCAGGCCTAGAGCTCAAGTCCCACAAACAACAAAAAATATATATACATACATACATACATACAAAAGAAAATTACCTATCAGTCACATATATGATATCATTAAAAAATGTTTATTTTGGCCAGGCACTGGTGGCTCATACCTAGCTAGCTACTCAGGAGACTGGGATCTGAAGATCGCGGTTTGAAGCTAGCTCAGGCAAGAAAATCTGTGACTCTTAACTCTAATCAGGCACCAAAAAAGCCAGGCATGAAGCTGTGGCTCAAGTGTTATAGGGCTAGCCTTGAGCAAAAAAGCTGAAGGACAACACTCAGGCCCTGAGTTCAAGCCCAGAACCCGTACACACACACACACACACACACACACACACACACACACATACATATGTTGATATCATAGAATAAAAGAATACAGTAAAGCACTAAATCGTTTCAGAAAGTTTTAGAGCAGTAATAGTTCCTATTGCTATTATGATCATGATTATTATTAAAATGTGCTTCTTTTGGAAATGGAGGCATATCCCCAGCTCATTGTGATGCGGATTAAGGAGTGGCTTGGTAAGATAGAGAATGACATATTCACATTGGAAAATTCACATATCACTGCATTTATGAAATGCTTTGGGAAATATGCCTTAGAGTTGGAAATGGAAGGAAAAGACAAATGAACAACAATAATGAATTAATCATGAATGAAACTGCAAGGTAGTTAACATTTGTTTGCAGTTCTCCCTATTCGTCCAGGTCATTATCTCTCCAAATTAGGCACTTGTGTGCATAGACCAGGCATGTTTTCTACTGATGCTCTAGGATCTTCTCTTTCTTTCCTTATCTTCTTACCTCCGGAACCCAGGGCCTTGGTGCGCCGTGCGCCCTTCCGCTGGGCTAAACCCCCAGCCCCAAACTCACTTGGTTTATATGTTCTAGCCTTTAAAGAGACAACCAAAACTAGTTTTCCAAGCTAATCAAAGGTCAGGTATTAGCAAGCTATTAAAAGTTTCTGTTTTTTTAAACATGGTGATTTTGAGCACCTTTTCTTCTGGTTTTGGGTTTGTGTGTGTGTGTGTGCTGGAGATCAAACCCTGGGCCTCATCCAAGTTTGGCAATCATTCTAGCATTGAACTACATGCTCAGCCTTTCTTTTTTGTTTTTTAACAGTACTGAGGTTTGAACTCAGGACTTTGTACATGCTGGCAGGCACTCTCATTTGAGCCACTCCATCATTCGGGTGGCTTTAATAATTTTTCAGAGCTAGCCTGGACTATGATCCTCCTATTTGTAGTTTACATATAACTGGGACGGCAGGTATATAATACCAGGGTCAGATTTTTTTATTTCTTGAGATGGGATTTCATTTTTTCTCTCAGGCTGTCTTTGAACCACATTTCTCCTATATCTGTCTCCCGAGTAGCTAGAATTATAGGCATAAGCATTGCTCCTGGCTTTATTTAGAAACTTACATTCCTGCTGCATTAGTCTTCTGAATAGTTAGGATTTCAGGCATCGTACCCAACACCGTAACACATGAGAGATACTGGTGGGGAGAATCAAAGGCTTGAGAATAAGCTAAGAGGAAGGTCTATGGGCAGGGGAAACTTGACCATGCTGTGGAGGCCCTTTGATAGAGTGAGCCTTGAAGGAAAGAAAAGCAAAATGAAATCAATTGTGTTGGTGTCTTCAAAGTGTTAACAACCAGAACAATTATATAGATATAGATATAGATATATAGATATAGATTTCATGCCATAACAATCATGGTATTCAAACCATTTAGTGTCCATAAGTTCAGGTGCTGAGTAGGGTTGGGACAGGTGGGGGAAGAACGATGGAAGGAGTGACGTTCATCGCAATGCGTTGTACTCATAAACTGACATGTTGAATTGAAACCCCTTTGCACAACTACTTAAAGATGTATCTTAATGGAAAAAGTTTTGAAGTTTAGTCTACCCAACCTGGCTTTGAACCTTGATTCTCATATATCAAAACTCCTGAGTAGTGAGGACTTAGGCATGAGCTGTCAATGTCCAGCTACAAATGTTCAAAAGTGACTCAGTCATGTTTGTGAGAATGTGCATCAGTGTTTATAGCTCTATTGAGTTATAATTGACACTCAACAAACTAGACACATTTAAAGTGTACAATTTGACAAATTTTAACTGAAATCACCAAAACTCAAGATAATGAACATACTTATTTCAACTTGTTTCCCTTTAGTATGTATTTCTTTGTCTTCACATCCCTATTTCTGGGTAACCCCTGACCTATTGTCACTATAGAATATACATTTTCAGCTTCTACAAGTTTATAAAAATGGAAACCATCTGGCATGGACCCTTTTAATTGCGTTTTCAGCTAGTATATTTATTTGAGACATCCATATTTCTGCCTCAACTGTTACTTTACTCCATTGTATGGGTATAGCACACGCTGTCCATTTTGATCCATGTTTATGGGCATCTAAGGTTTTCCCAAATGTCACACACAAATAGCATTGCTACGAGCTTTCATGTATAAGTCATTGTGTAGACAGAGCTTTCATTTCTCGTAGGTAAATACACGGGAATTAAATGGCTTGTTCGTAAGTAGTATATTTAACATTATGAGCAACTGAAAAAATTTTGCTCCAAAGTGGTTGAATGATTTAACACTCTTAATCAGCATTTCAAAGTTCATCATTGTAAATATTGATATGGTCTATCCTTTTTTTGGTGGGGGGTCTGGTCGTGGGCCTCAACTCTGGGCCTGGGCGCTGTCCCTCAGCTCTTCAGCTCAAGGCTAGCACTCTACCACTTGAGCCACAGCGCCACTTCCGGCTTATTTTTTCTGCTTATGTGGTGCTGAGGAATCGAACCCAGGGCCTCATGCATTCAAGGCAAGCACTCTACCACTGAGCCACCTTCTCAGCCCTGGTCTATCCTTTTAAGTCATTCTTGTGAGTGTGTAGTGCTATCTTAGTGAAGTGTAAATGTTCATTGTAAAGACTAACATTAAATGTCTTTCATTTGCTCATTTAAGTGTGTCTTTTAGTTGAGTCCTCAGATTCTCGACATTTCAGAAATTGAGTTGATAATCTTTTAATTATAGATTTTTGTGGTATGAGGGACTGTATTTAGGGCTTCGCAATAGACAATCAATCTACCATTTAAGCCATGTCTCTAGTCCCTCTGAGTTATAGTTTTTAAGTTCCTAAGAGTGCCTAGCTAGCAAGATGAAAATCCTTTAGTTCAAGCCTGAGTACCACAAAAAAAGGTTAAATATTGTAGATACAAGTATTTTTTATCAGATATACACTGATAGCTATATTTCAAATATTAACTCCTGGTCCTTTGCTTGTATTTTTATCTTTAGAACAGGCCCCTTTGAAGAGCATGTTGTGAAAGATTTTCAGTTTTAAATTTTGATAAAGTCTAAATCTATTGGCTTCTTTCCTTTTGTAGTTCACAGAATTCACATTATTTTCAAAATGAATTTGTCTCAAAAAAGGTTTTGAGACAATTATTTGTAGAAACTTGATCATAACTATTAATTTCAGTATCTAAGCCATTTTAATATTTATGTACAGTGAGATAAGTTGAGAACCATTCTTTTGCAAATGGCTATCCAATTGTTACAGAACTATTTGTTGAAAATGATATTCAGTAGGATTTACCTTGGAACCTTTATTTAAAAAAAACTACTATCCATGTGTGGACTTCTAGACTCTGCTGCTTTATTGTTCATACTTGTATCCACTGTAGTGCTTTTTTGAAGACTTGCTGTTAGGGTGTTTTCTAATTTGGTTGTTTTTCTAAGTTATATGGTAAAGAAACACACACACATACGAATATTATTGAGCCATAATGAAATTACATCATTTTCAGGAAAATGAAATTGGAGATCAAAATAGGCAAGACTAGGCACAAATATCATGCTTTCCGATATGTGGGATCTAGACTCGAAACAAATGGCATGAATGTGAAGTGGGGCTTTTTGGGGAAGGAGTACCAATGGGAAGAAAGGTAAGTTATTGAGGGAACAATTATATTTCAAGTACTTTATAAGCACATATGAAATAGAATAATGAAAATGACTAAAACTCATTTTAAAATGGGGATGTAGGACAAGAAGTAAGAAAAGGGAAGCTGGATGCCGGTAGCTCACACCTATAATCCTAGCTACTTAGGAGGCTGAGATCTGAGGCTGAGTTTAAAGCTAGATCAAGACTCTTATCTCCAATTAACTATCAAAACATCCCGAGGTGGAGCTGTGGTTCAAGTGGTGATGCAGGACTGGGACAAAAAAGGGAGGTGGGGAAGTTCAATGAAAAGTACATTATATGCATGCCTGGAAAAATCACAATGAAACTAATTCCTTTGTACAACTAATACTCTAAAAATGTAGTAAACTTTTGTTTGAACAATTCCAGGTTATAGTTCCATATGAACTTGAGATTTAGACAGTTTATCTCTAAATTTATTTGTTAGAAAGTAAAATAGACTGTTGGAGGGGTACCTGCAGAAATGGGGAGGGCTAAGAGACTGAATGAGGGTGAATATGGCTAAAGCATTTGTGTGTGTGTGTGCCAATACTGTGTCTTGAACTTGGTGTAGGTGCTGTTCCTTAGCTTGTTTATTCAAGGTTAGCACTCTGCCACACCTCTTTCAGTTTATTTGCTTTAAAAACAATCTGTAAAACTAGCACCTACAAGACTGAGGCAAGAGGATCACAAGTCTGAGGCCAGCATGGGATACATAATGAGACCTTGCCTGACCTCCAAAAAGCTAGGTACCAGGGGTTTTACACCTGTTATTGTAGTTCCTAGAGAGGCTGAGATACAGAGGATCACAGTTCAAAGCAAGCACAGGCAGAAAAGTTTACTAGTTTCCATCTCCAAAATAACCATCAAATAGTTGGGCTAGAGGCCTGGCTCAAATGGTAGAGCAAAAGCCATACAAGGCTGTGCAAAGGCTGAGTTCAAATCTCAATACTGCCAAAAAAGAAAAAATAACTCCAATATTTTTTTAAGTTTATTATTTTTTCCAATACTGGAGATTTAAACCAGACAATTGCTGTACATACCACTGACCTAGATCCCCAGACCTGCATTTTATTTTCAACATCAAGTCAACTAATTATAAAAGTAACCCATGCACAAGGTAAAAACATGAAGTAGAAAACAGAGGACCATAGATTAAAGTCCCTTTCCTTTTCTCCCTATATCCTCAGCCCTGAGGTGTTTTGTTTTTTAATAGTCCAGTGGTCTTTTTTTTCTTTTCTTTTTTTTTTTTTACATTTCTTATGCCATGAATTCAAAGGGAATAGGTTCCAAGAGTTCAAGCTCATCCTCATTGGTTCTCACGAAGTGTGCTTCTCTGAGTGGAGCAGGCAGGAGCTTCAGTAGAAACCAGCTTCTTTTCTCTTTGGCTTCCTTCTTTTTCTGGCCGTTTTCCTTGACACAATTCAGGAAACTAGCTCTTAAGCATGCTTCATATGCTCAATACACACATTAATTCTCCTGGCAAGAATCTTGCCCTTGCTTGTTCTCAACAATCCCAACAGTATGCTGGGTAAATTATAGGCGCTTCCAGTTTTGCTATGGTAAAATCTGGGGGGCATGCCTTTCTGAACAGGGCCCACTACCTCGAAAGGCCTAGAGAACATGTATTGGGTACCTCTCCTCTTTCCCTTTGTATTCATCATTTTGACAAATTTTTGGAAGATGGTAGTTCCAAGCCAAAAGAAAGCCTGAGTTTTATTTTTTAACATAAATTCAACTAATTATAAAAGTAACATAATATGTACATGGTGAAATTATGAAGTAGAAAATGGAGGACCATAGATGAAAGTTCCTTTCCTTTTCTCCCTACTACTCTGCTTGCCAAATTCCCCTAGTCAGAAGTAATCAGTTACCAGCTCCTTGTATGTATTTTCTGGACACATGTACATATGAATATACATTCTTTTGTAAGCAAACCAGATGTGCATACCCTTATATACACATAGCTCTCCATTTCCCATTTAATTTTTACCATAAAGGGTTTGGTTTTTTAGGGTGGTACTCAAGTTTGAACTCAGGGCTTCATGTTTGATAGACAGGCAATCTATCACTTGAGCCATGCCTCTAGCCCTGCCTGTATCTTTTGAGTTCCTAATGTGACTGAGTTTTAACAGATTTTTACCACACGGACAGGGACTAGGTTAGTCAGAGATCATAGTAGGGGAAGTATCAAGAAAAGGTATGTTCATCTCTGTAAATCCAAAACATGACACAAAACCTAGCACACAATAAATGTCCAATAAATACATGATAAATACCTAACGGCAACAAAGCACTTAAAACAAAATGGGAAATTCTATCTTGACTCTTCTTAGAACAGATCCTGGGTTCTTACTGAGTTAGCATGTCCCAGGGTAATGAGGACCAGGGAAGGTGGAGATAGATAGTGACGGATGAGGCATTCTAACAATCAATCACATAGAATAACTTCTCACTCTGATCTCTTCCCCCAGTGGATTCTCTGCCTCCAAAACACAAACACACACACACACACACAGTTCAAATGCAGTTGACAATGATGACAATGGCAAGAAAATCTGTGTTCAATGACTACACTACAGTACAGTTATACACTAAACATCCACACTCATACAAACAGGCATAATTAAGTAGTGCCTACTGTGAAATTGGGAGCATGTTGGGAAAGAGTCCTGGTAAGACTAATGTCAACGTATCCCTAATTTATAGATAGGAAAACTAAGGTATCAGGAATCCAAGTGACTTATTCAGGGTCACACAGCTTATCAAATAGCTTCCAGAGAAAATTCTACACTTTAATAAGGTTAGCCTGCTTTCTGCTATTTCCATAGTACATTTGCTCCTGCTTCACTGACTTTGTGCTATTTTCTTTCTCCCTACTTGTCTCATCCACTGTTTGGGAGAAACTGGCAGATGTGGAAATGGTACTGGGCTGAGCAAGATGCTGTTAGAAATGAGGAGTCAGTCCTGGGAACTATGAAGACATACCAACACATTTCGGAGATACTAGATGTTTAGAAATGAAGTTGAAACTGGAAACTGGATTTTGTGGCAGCTTGCAAAATTCTGATGCAAACATTTTTTTTCCCTAGGCTGTTCTGGTGAGCTGCACACAAACACAGCCTTGTAAGCAGGCAGACTTAAAGGCACTGGCCATTATCTCTGCCTATCTGAAATCTATTCATTCTTCAAGGCTCACATACAGTCTCACTCTCTCCATGAAAAAAGGCCCTGCCTCTCCCATTCATTAATTAAAATGTAGCTTAAATCTACAGCAGGAATACCCAGCTGGACTCAAGTCTGTACACTCCTATTAATGAACTGTGTGACATAAACCTAGTCACAATTTCTCTGAACCTGGTCTTCTCACCTTAAAGGATTTTCATAACAGTACAGTAAACACAATAACACAATATATGAATGTAAAGAATTATTGCTGAAAACACTTTGAACTAAGGTGCATCTGCCATTTGCATTCTATTTAGTGGATGCTTTTATGGAAGAAACAGCAATCCCTGCTGCTTGTTTCTTAGCATCTTCAGCAAAGGTGAAAGGATTTGGGAAAATAATACTGAACAGTTTTTAAACGTGGTACTCTAGGGGGAGGGGAATATGTGCAATCTGCTCAGGCACTGTCCTTGGAAACTACCAGGTGATTCCAGGGTTGCTTATTTTTAAAAGCTCCATCCTTCTCATTGTTTCTTCACATAAATAATCTGTGTCAATACTGTAAAAAAAAAAAGGAAAAGAATTTTGCACAAAGTCAGAACATCTGATGTCTGCAGTACTTTTCCTATTTCTAAGGGTAAGATGCCCTTCATACTTGCTCCATGGCGCCACTCAGTTATCTAACTCCTCCCCAAGCCTTAACTCCTTGCCATGAGTGAATTTTCTCTTGCATCTCTTCACTCCTATACCCTCAGTTTTGTCCAAGGCTCTGTTCCATTAGTTTCCACCCCTGTAACTGCAACTTTTCCCTCTCTATGGGCTCCTATTTCTTACTCTACAAATATATCTATCTGAAAACAAGGGTTTTTAAAGAACAGGAATAAGTTCTACTCTCTCTCCAACCACACAACTCCCTCCATCTATGAATTCATACATCATTTTTTTTTTGGTTAGTCATGGGGCTTGAACTCTGGGCCTGGGTGCTGTCCCACAGCTCGTCAGCTCAAAGCACTCTACCACTTGAACCACAGTGCCACTTCTGGTTTTCTAGTGGTTAATTGGAGTGTCATGGATTTTCCGGCCTGGGCTGGCTTTGAACCATGGTCCTCAGATCTCAGCCTCCTGAGTAGCTAAGATTACAGGTGTGAGTCATGAGTGCCCAGCTTCACATATCTTTTTGCTGTGCTGGTACCAGGGCTTAAACTCAAGAGCCTCGAACTCTCACTCAGCTGTTTTGCTCACAACTAGTACTCTACCAATCGAGCTTCACCTCTACTTTGGTCTTTCTGTTGGTTAACTGAAGGTAAGATTTGTCTGCTGGGGCTGGCTTCAAATCACCATTTTCATGTATCAGCCTCCTGAATGGCTGGAATTATAGGTGTAATCCACTGGTGCCCACCCCTCACCTCTTCTTTTTATAAACTTCCTTATAATCTACCTCTTCAAGTCATTGAAAAATGGTTTACAGCCCCACCACACCATTCAGTCAGCCTTATTAAGGCTACTTATAATCTAATTGCTAAATCCAATTGACATTTTCAGGACTCAATACCGTTGATCATTTTGCCTTCCAAGTTCACTTTTTCCTTAGATTTCAGAACATGATTCTCTCTATGGACTTCCTTTTCAAACCCTCATGGCCTATCTCCCAAAGAAGATTCTTCAGGGGCTTTTCTCACTCTTTCTAACATTATATTCACTGTCATAGCTTCAGTTATCATGTCTTCAAAGGTGATCACTTCCAAGTACACATTTTCACATCCAATTGCCTACCTATTAAAAAGCTTTCCCCAAGTGGAACACAGGTACTTCAAACTCAGTATGTGTATCCTGACTACTTCCAAGTATACAGTAGAGTTCCTAGGGTTTGTTTAGGGATTTTTTAGGGGGGAGGGGCTTGTTCCGGAGCTGGAATTCAGGCCTGAGCTCTGTCTTTGAGCTTCTTTGTCAAGGCTAATGTTCTAGCATTTGAGCATAGCTCCACTTGTGGGTATTTTGGTGAATACTTGGAGACAAGAGTCTCATAGATTTTTTTTGCCAGTACTGGGGCTTGAACTCAGGGCTTTGGCAATGTCCCTGAGCTTCTTTTGCTCAAGGCTAGCACTCTACCACTTGAGCGACAGGGCTTCTTCTGGCTTTTTTCTGTTCATGTGGTACTGAGGAATCAAACCCAGGGTTTCATGCATGCCAGGCAGGCACTCTAACACTAAGCCACATTTGCCTAGACAAAGATCCTCAGACATCAGCCTCTTGAATTCAAGCTAGGAAACAATGGAAGGGGGGCACACCCTAGTTTTTTTTTTTGTTTTTGTCAGCAGTGTGGCTTGATCTCTGAGCCTGGGCACTGTCCCGAAGCTCTTCAGCTCAAGGCAAGTGCTCTACCACTTGAGCCACAGCACCACTTCCAGTTTTCTGGAGGTTATTTATAGATAGGAGTCTCACACCCCTCAGTAGATGAATGGATCAAGAAAATGTGGTATATATACACAATGGAATTCCATGCCTCCATCAGAAAGAATGACATTGTCCCATTTGTTAGGAAATGGAAAGACTTGGAAAAAAATTATATTAAGTGAAGTAAGCCAGGCGCAAAAAAAAAAAACAACATAGGTCCCGTGGTTTCCCTTATTAGCAATAACTAGTATATGTCTGAGTGAAAAGAAAAGGTCAGATAAGATAATGTTAAGCGAAATGAACCCCAAGATAAGGACACAAGTGGTTTTTTTCTTTCTTGCTATTGTTTCTAACATATTTATAAGATGATTTTTTGTTGCTTTTTATATCCCTCCCCCACGGTATAACCCCTAGTTTTCACTGTATTTGATGTTGGTATAATTTGGGGAGCGGAGGGGAAAAATTGCTTAAATAGGGATACAGGTTGACCCATTGAAACAATGAAATGTACAAGATGCTATGTCGAAAAATGAACTTTACAATTTGGGGGGCAGGAATGTAGTTGAGATGGGAGGGAAGGGATGGTAGGGGAAAAACAAAGGAGGAGGCAACAATACTTAATAAGAAATGTACTCACTACCTTGCTCATGTGATTGTAACTCCTCTGTGCAGTATTTTCACAATAAAAAACTTACTTTAAAAAGTCTCACAGTGTTTTGGGCCTGGGCTGGCTTTGAACTGTCATCCTCAGATCTCAGCCTTCTGAGTAGCTAGGATTACAGGTGTGAGCCAGCGCCCGGCACACCCTAGTTTTTTTAAATGCATACAAAGCAAGTTTATTTGAAAGTGAAAGGAAAGTAGTAAGACTCTTCAAAGAGAGGGGCTCCAAAAAGTAAAGTCTCTAGTTCCTACTTCTTAATGGAAAAAAGCAAAGTGGAAGTAAGTATCTTAGTTATTTACATAATGCCATGTGGCAAATTTTTTTTTCCCCAGAGCTGAGGACTGAACTCAGGGCCTTGCGCTGGCCAGGCAGGCGTTCTTCTGCTGAGCTAAACCCCCAGCCCCTATGTGGCAATTTAATGCTATAAAAGTGTAATAAAATCTTTTTTACTTTTTTTGAGGAACATAGCAAAAGGTACCTTCTCCCTTCATATAAATGAGTATATGAATTATATTGGGGAAGTTGGGCCAATTTTCTTGGTAAGCTCAGACATCTGAGAGTTAAGATATCAGTTACTTTCAACCTCTTATTTCTAAATTTAGAATAAGGAACACATAGCAGGATAAGCTAATAAGTTTTATCCCAGGCCGAGTCAGTACATGAAAAAAGTACCAGGTCTTCTAAAATAAAATGACCTTGTAGATGTGGGTTGCCAGTCAGTGGTTCATGCCTGTAACCCTAGCTACTCAGGATAGAGGTTCAAGATCAGCCCAGTCAGAAAAGTCTGAGACTCTAATTAACAAGCAAAAAAGCCAAGCAAGAGCATGAGGCCCTAAATTCAAGTTTTAGTACTGGCCTGCAGGCAGGCGCACACACCCACACCCACACCCACCCACACACAGAGAGAACTACCTTAAAAAGGAAGGTTCCACTGCATTTGTGAGCATAGCCTTTGCCAGCATATTGCTGACCACTGGAATTCTGCACCTAGCCTCCTAAACACAAAGGGCACTTTAACCTATCTGTAATCTTGGAGTGCAAACAGAATGTCACTACAGGGCACAGGGATCTTGTTTAAGTCAAGGTATGAATGTCCAGTCAACAAGCTTTGGCTGTACTGTGTAAGGAAAGTCCTTAAGATCAAGCACATACAGAAGCAAGAAGTAGCAGAAACAGTTGATCAACATCCCATCTAGCTTTGGAAGAAAAAACTGGCCCCATCTTTGGGGTCAGTTGTGGAAAAGAAAGTGAGATTAAGGAGAAAACTCTACTACTAGAACATGTAAGAACTGGAGAAATGACTGACTTTTCACTAGGATTTCGTCCAACAGGTATTATTCACTGGTACACATGGCATATGAGATCCTGATTACCTCCTAGTCTCATTTATTAACATTTGTTGATACTCTGCTTTGCTCTTGATTCTCTGTAATACTAAACTTCCTGAAGATTCCTTACCCTTATTCTCATTCAATATCATAAACCATGTTTGTTTGTCTGGGTACCTTTGCTCATATCACCACTTACGCTTGGCTTATCTTTGTCCATTCTTCCATCTATCTTCTCTGATTTAAATGACTGAGGTCGTGTCTCCTCTAAGAAGCTTCCCTGAGACCCTTGAGCAAGGCTGGTTTTATTGTGTCATGGTTTCTTAAGTGCCCTAGGACTGGTCATTTCACTGCCTTATTCAGTACATTTGCCTCTCTCTACTACTGCCCCTGAAGCATAGAACGTGTCTCAAATTTTATTGTTTCTATAGCACTTGACACATATGACATGGTCAGGAAGTACTTGTGAAATAACTGAGGGTGAATTTTGTCACTTTAAGAACACCATCTAGGGGCTGGGAAGATGGCTCCGTGGTAGAGTGCTTGCCTCATATCCATGAAGCCCTGGGTTCGATTCCTTAGCACCACATAAACAGAAACGGCCAGAAGTGGCGCTGTGGCTCATGTGGTAAGAGTGCTAGCCTTGAGCTGAAGAGCTGAGGGACAGCACTGAGGCCTTGAGTTTAGGCCCCACAACCAATAACAACAACAACAAAAAACCTCTTCCTGTCCTTTGTCCTGACTATCTAGACACCCAGCCTTCATTGAACTACCATTTCCACAAGAGGACTCCTTCTAGGAGGTTCTCCTGGATTGACTCCTCTCCATCTCACATTAAATAATCTTCATCTTCCTTATATCTAACGTGAATATACATTTCTGTTGATTTCAGTTTTGTCTTATATACATCCTAACAGTAAAATGTATTTGAGATCCTCAAATTATGACTACTCTGTAAGCCCTTTATTTTTAATTCCATGTTCTTTTGGTACACTGCTACCAACTTATCTGATAGATAAATTATAGGGATGTGAATGCTGGTCTGAAAACACAACGGAAGCATGCTGGGTTAAAAGACAAAGCACCAAAGAAAAGGAAAAAAGAGCCACAATTTATAAGGACAAAAGAAATAATGAGCCAGAGACTGTTGGCTCATGTCTGTAATCCTAACCACTTAGGAGGCTGAGATCTGATGATTGTGATCTGAAGCCAGCCCAGGCAGAAAGTCCAGGAGACTCAAATTAACCAGCAATTTAAAAAAATGTGTTAGTAGGGGTGTGGCTCAAATGGTAAAGGGCCAGCCTTGAATGAAAAAGCTAAGCCACAGTTCCCAGGCCTACTGTGAATTCAAGCCCCAGTGCTAGCACACAAAATAGTAGTAATAATGGTCTGCCACCCCATTTCCCAACAGATATTCTCCTTGCTGTTATTTAGAACTTTCACTACACACACAAACTGTGAGGAATTACCAATGTTAAATGATTCTGAGTTTATTTCAAATCTCTTGACAATAAAGCTGTATCTACATCTTTCTACCAAAGATGCACTGGAGGTCTAACTTAGACCTTTTTATGTTATACATAATTCTGCCTTCTTGGACAGCAATCACCACACTCTTAAGCTTCTGAAACTAACAAACTTTGCTTTGCTAGCCAAACCAAGCTTCTGTTTGAGCCAGACTTGGAATCAGGCCTTTATACTGTTTTCATTTACGCTTCAATCTATCAGATTGGTTTTGGAAGGTGAAATTTTTGCACATGGCCTTTACTTTCCATTATGTGCTTCAGTTCTGAATGCCAGAAACAAATGGCCCTTTAGCCACTGGTTAGCTGCCAACAGAACAAAGTTGTATTGTAATTAAGAATACTCTGTGTGTTATGCCAGCTTGCTGAGCTGGCAGCTGGGCATTTATCAAAGAGAGGGATAAGATCTCCACCTTCTGAAACTTTACTGTTATGGCTTTATCACCTTGAGATGTGAATACTCTTGAAATGCACATACTAGGGCTGGGAAGGTGGCTCAGTGGTAGAGCGCTTGCCTTGCATGTTCCAGGCCCTGGGTTCGATTCCTCAGCACCACATAAGAAAAAAGCTGGAAGTGGCGCTGTGGCTCAAGTGGTAGAGTGCTAGCCTTGAGCTGAAGAGCTGAGGGACAGCGCCCAGGCCCAGAGTTCAGGCTCTCACGACCGGACCTCAAAAAAAAAAAAAAAAAAGGAAATGCACATACTAACTGTAACCCCTCTGTATATCACCTTTATAGTAACAATAGAAATATTTTTAAACCACCAAAAGATAATAAAATTATGGTTTAAAAAGAAAAAAAATGCATACATGAAACCCTCTGGCAGGTATTAGTAGAAATGGAAAGACCTAATTTTGTGGAGTATTTCTGATGTACTAAAGGGTTGTACTAACTAGATACAATTGCTGTCTCAGTTCAATCCCCATGTTTGCCTCAACCAGTCAAGTGTCAGCACTGACTGTAGCACTAGCCCCATTTTAAACACAAGTATACTGGCGTTCAGAGAGATGAAGTAAGCATGGTCACCTAGCTAGTAGATGTTATAGACCTGTGAGTCAGGCCAAACATATCTAGATTTTATGTTCTTTCTTCCTTTACTTTGCTGCTTCTCCAACAATGAGGTTATCTATTTCCTGCTTTTCCCCATGCCCAACAGGTTTCCCCATGTTCAACTGGTCTACTGATAATAGCACTTACTTTACTATTATGCTAGGCTTGCCGGCCCCCAGCTTTTCTTCTCTTTCAATGTAATGGTCTATGACCAATTCCAATGCACCTGATTCAAGCCCCTCTCCTTTCCTACTTCCCCCACCACAGTAACTTACTAGAATGTCTTAAGATTAGATCTTGAATGAATCAATGAATCACACATCATTTGTATTCCAAAATCTGTGAAGTTATTTCCACTTAAGTCTAGCAATAACAACGTCGCGTTTCTGTTGAGGACAGAGGCGAGAGCTCCAGAGCACTCATCTGTTAGATGACATTCTGCTATCCTGGAAGGAATAAAAGATTAAAAAGTGAAATCAGCTTCATTCCAAGTTCCCCTCGGCCCTCAATTTTATATACATACTGGAATTAAAAAAGACACTACACAAAGAGTTTCCATGCATTTACCACAAGGTCTGTAGTTTGCAGGACGGGTGTTCTAATCCTTCACACAGAACCTTTATGCCCTCATCCCCTAAGGCATTGTCGCTGAGGTCAAGGTCTGTCAGGTGTTCATTGGTATACAAAGCATTGCACAAATCCTGGCAACATGATGCAGTTAGGTGACAGGTCCACAACCTGTGGTTAAGTAAGGTAGAGAAGGCAGACATCATTTCATCTGATTCACTTTAGAAATTGTTTGCCCATTAGAAAATCAGAGTATCAGTCAGACACTGGTGGCTCATGCCTGTAATCCTACCTACTCAGGAGGCTGAGACCTGAAGATCATGGTTCAAAGCCAGCCTGGGCAGAAAGACCTTGAGATGCTTATCTCCAATTAACAACCAGAAAACTGAAAGTGGAGCTGTGGCTCAAAGTGGTAGAATACTAGCCTTAAGCAAAAGAGCTCAGGGACAGTGCCCAGGCCCTGAGCTCAGGCTCCATGATTGACAAAAAAAGAAAAGAGAATAAGAGAAGAAAAGAGAATATGAGAAGAGGAGAGGAGAGGAGAGGAGAAGAGAGGAGAAGGAAGAGGAGGAGGAGGAGGTGGGTGGTGGTGGAGGTGGTAGAAGTCAGAGTGTCATGGGAAAAAAAATCCTTGGGCCCTTGCTAGCGAAACAGAGATTGTGGAGAAAGGATTACTATGCCCTCTATAAATTATTTGACTCTTCATTTATCGTTTCCTTGGAGACTGAATTACCAGGCCAAGAAATACTCATTTAGTTTTAGGAGTTGCTTAAACATTAGGATATTCTGCCAGTGCCTACTGTCCATGATACTCACGCCAGATCCTTTAACTGACAGTCAGGACGTTTTAATCCTTCACACAGCAATTTCAGTCCCAAATCTCCAATTTTGTTATTAATTAGAAGCAGTTTTGTCAGGCTCTTGTTGAAACAAAGGACTTGGGCGAGGGTCTCACAACAAGCTGCAGAGAGGGAACATTCAGAAAGCCTGGAAGGACAAAAATCAAGGTGGCTATTAACCACAGCAGCAGCAACTCCCACTGACCCCCAAATGCCAATGTCTGTGAGAAGGACAAGGATCAGCAGAGACTTACACAAGATTTTCAATTATGCTGTTTGTATGCAGCACACCTTCACAGAGATGCTGTACTCCTGTGTCCCCCAGGACATTGGCAAACACAAATAATTCTTTTAAAGTCAGACTCCTTCTCAAGAAGGAAGAAAGGTCCACACAGCTAGCATCTGTGAGGCAACATTTGCTCAAGCTACCCAGGAAAAAAGAAAAGAAAAATCAGCTTCTGCCATCACTTTGGCTTCCTGGTATTCTTCTATCCTGTCTCCTCGTTTGAGTTCCAGCTCCTCTCCCACATCCTTCACACAACTTCCTTGTGAGGTCACCAGCCTATAGTGACCTCTCTTTTCCTTGGGCTCATCTGATGCCTTTAAATGATTCCACGGTATTGAGTTCAAATCTGCACATCCTTAAGGGCAGCTCTGTGATATGAAGAACTTCTTGTACCTTTTATATCCGCAGCTAGCTCCATATCTATTATGGATGCATAGCAGGTATTTTTCATATAGTTAATATTTAATAATGTCATCCTAATAAATGCTAAGCTGTAGTATACTGGAAATATGAGAAGATACAATAGTGATTTTTGTAGTCCTGTGATGATTACACCACTTAGCTGTGTGGTACTGGACAGGTTACTTCTTTCCCCATCCTGTTTCTTCACATGGACAGGGGTGATAAGAAAATCCATCTTGGGCTGGAAGTATGGCTCATGTGATAGAGAACATGCCTAGCCATTATGAGGTACAGAATATAAGCTCCTGTAATTGAACCTTACCTTTTTCGTAAGTAATGAGTAAAATGAGATGACCTCTGGCAAGCAACAAGAACATAGCAGGCACTGAACGACTTAGATAGTATTAAATACTTCTAAGAAACTTACTCTAGTTTTTCCACTTTACAGTTGTAATTTCTGAGACCTGCACAAAGATATTTCACCCCTTTGTCCCCCAGGGGATTTTCACTCAGGTCCAACTCAGTGATGTATTGGTTGTAAATAAAAACAGAGGCAAGATACTGGCAAACGATCTCTGAGCTTTCTGGCAGAAGGCTACCACATAACCTACAGAAAAAATGCAGAGAAAAATTGGCCACTTAAGTAAATTGTTCATTTCCACAATGATACCTAAGTAGAGAAAATCAGGATCCACAGATATATGACCCCAGTCTTGAGCATGTCCCAGCTCCTTACTCACCACAGCAAGGACTTGAAAAATGCTTCCAAAACAATGTGTCCTACAGTGGGAACTCAAAAAAAATATTGACTGCCTGAAAAAGGGTCAGGAGGAAATACTAATCATTTAATATCATTTTAAATTCTTATACTAATATAGTATTCTATAAGATAGCACTCTATCTCAATCTTCTTTTAAATCATCCTTAGTAAATTTTATAGTCAGATCTTTTTTCCCTCTTATCTAAAGGTTTACTACTAATTACTTTGCCATCCTTAAAAGAGACCCCGACCATTATCACCCATATAGAATCCCTTTTCTTGGTATGAAGAGTGACGATATTTTCACTGACTACTCTATCTTCTCATTCAATGTTTCTACATATTATATGGTGAAATTCCTTCAGCCATTTCTCCTCAACTGCAACCTTTGAATCCTTCATTTCTTAACATGTTCTAAACTCAAGTTGTATTCATAATCTACCTAACTTTTTGTGGTGCTAGGATCTGTACTGAAGGCCTCACACTTGCTAAGCAGGTGCTCTTACCACTGAGCCACACCTCCAGTATGGCTATTTTTTAGACAGGGTTACTTCCTTGCTGGGCACAATCCACCTATTAGGTGCATACCATCAATTCCAACTTTTCCTTCACAATGGGTTTGGACTTTTTTCTGGTTGGCCTTAAACCATATCCTAACAATATCAGTCTCCCAGGGAGCCAGAATCACAGGAATGAGCTACTGGCATTTTGCATTTTTTTTGTCACTTGTGGAACTTGAACACAGAGCCTAGTCACTGTCCCTGAGCTCTTTGCTCAAGGCTAGCGGTCTAGAGCTCCACTTCCAGTTTTCTGGTGGTTAATTGGAGTCTCACAGCCTTTCCTGTGTAGGCTGGTTTTGAGCCGTGATCCTCAGATCTCAGCCTCCTAAGTAGCTATGATTACAGGTATGAACCACCAGTGTCTGACTATAATTTAACAACTTTAAATAGAATGTTTTGAATAAAATGAGTTTTCATCTTTAGGAAGCTTTAGTGCTGAAGAGCCTGCTTTACAAAAAAAAAGAAGGAAAAAAAACACAACACTGAATGCTAGTTATAATCCTAGTTATTCAGGAGACAAATCTGAGGATCACCATTTGAAGCTAGCCCCTTGCAGGAAAATCCATGAGGTTCTTATCTCAAATTAGCCACCAGAAAACTAGAAGTGGCTCAGTGGCTCAAAGTGGTACAGCACTAGCCTTGAGGAAAAGAGCTCAGGGATAGCACCCACAACCACCACCACCACCACCACCACCAAAGAAGCAAAAGTAGAGGTACAGGCCAAATTATATAGTGCTAGACTTGCCTGAAAAAGCTAAGAGACAGTACCCAGGTCCTGGTTCAATCCCTAGTATCGGAGCTGGTGTGTGCATACACATGCATGCACATACGTGGGTATTGCTATTTCTTTTTTTTTTCAAACAAAGATTTATATGTCAAATGAGCTAGGGTACAGTTCCTAGATATTTGGTTAAGCATTATTCTATATGTTGCTGTGAGGTTTCAAACTGAAGTTAGCATTTAATCAGTAGACTTTGAATAAAATAATATGGGCCTTGTCTAATCTATTGGAATCCTTAACAGAAAAACCTGACTTCCTCCTCAGAAGACATTTCTTCAGCAGCCAGCTTCTGAACTTGAACTGCAACATGGGCTCTTTCCTAAGTCTCTAGCCTACCCTGTAGGTTTTTGACCTGCCTGCCTCCATAATCACATAAGCCAATCTTTTGAAATTAATATACTTGGGGCTGGGAATATGGCTTAGTGGTAGAGTGCTTGCCTAGCATGCATGAAGCCCTGGGTTCTATTCCTCAGTATCACATAAACAGAAATGGCACTGTGGCTCTAGTGGTAGAGCACTAGCCTTGAGCAAAAGAAGCTCAGGGACGGTGCTCAGGACCAGCAAAATAATAATAATAATAATATATTAATACTGTTCTCTTACCACTACTCTACTGATTCTTTATCTGGACAACCCTAAGATATACATAACAAATTACTAAAAACATCATGGACTTTGAAGTCAGATACACTGGGGTTTTGAATTGTCTTTAACAGGTTTCTTCAGCCTAATGAGGTTGTGCTTCAATTTTTTTCTCTGCTAAAATTAAAATAATAATTTGGATCCATTAGAGTTCTTCTGCACATTAAAAGAAATTATACAAAGCATTCACCATAGTGTTTAGTACATAGAAATAGCTCAAAAATGTGAGCTATTAATATTCTTATAATAAAAACATAATAAACTTATAATAAAAATTCTCATCCTAAGCTTGTTTACCTAGAGACAATTTTAGGGACTGTCACTTTTATCCTTCCTCTCTAAGACTCCTTGAATTGTATTTTGGTAACAAGTTATCAGTATTAAATTGTGTATTTTTTTAAATTACTGAATAATGAAAAATAGTTACTTGAGCTTCTGTACTTTGCAGTTTGGATGTTTTAAGCCATCACAGAGCAACTTCAAAGCTGAGGCTTCCAGTTTTGTCTCATTAAATTCTAGCTCAGTGAGGCACTGATTGGTAGTAAGAACAGCAGCTAGTGCTCCACAAGAATCAGAAGAAATAAGGCACCGGTACAACCTGCAGAGAACAGAAGAATAATCCAATTACCATATTCGTGCTCTACACCCACAAAAACAGAAACTATCCAAAAAAACATGATATGAGCACAAACAACAAACTATCCAGTTAACAGTTACCTCAAAGTCTGCAGCATACAGTGTGGGTGTTTTAATCCATGACAAAAATGCTTCATTCCTGAATCTTCCAGGGTATTCTTTACAAATTCTAACTCTGTCAGACACTGGTTGGTTTCAAAAACTGAGGAGAGGTCTCTACCACAAGAAGCTGTGAGGTGGCAGAAAATCAATCTGCATGAAAAAAAAAATTCAGGAAAGAAAATACAGTTCTCTTGAAAGGTACTTGTATAAAAGGAATAAATTCTTTGAACTCATTTAACAATTATCTTATTGGGTACTTACCACTGTGCTTCAAGTTTAAAACAGAGTCGCTTAAGATAAACTATACCCTCAAGTAATACCCACTACAAGAAAAGATTAGCAAACTAAGAACTTATAATCGAGTGTGAAAAGTATTACAGAGAAAGCCAGGTGCCTAATCCTAGCTACTTGGGAGGTTGAGATTAGAAGAATCACAGTTCGGGTCTAGCTTGAGCATACACTTAAGACCCCTTCTCAATCAACAGCTGAGCACAGTGATACAACACACTAGCTATGCATGAGGTTGCAGTTGGGAAACTGCAGTGCCAGGCGAGCCTATGTAGGAAAGTCGGATAAACTTCATCTAGATGGCAGAAGCTATGAATGGTAGTACACACTGGGCATTCCAGTTACCATGGGGAGCAAAAAATTAATAGGCTCACAAGACACTGGTGGCACCTATCAACCTAGCTACAAAGGAGGCTGAGATCTGAAGACAGGCTCAAAATCAACAAAGACAATAAAGCTGAAGACAAATCTGTCACAAGTCAGCTGGAACTAGAGTCATAGCCCAAGTAGCTGAGTGCCAGCCATGAGCAAAACAAGTCAAGTGAGTGTGAGGCTTTGAATTCAAGTACAGTTCTTGGAAGTGGCACTGTAGCTCAAGTGGTAGAGCTCTAGCCTTGAGCTGAAGAGCTGAGGGACAGTGCCCAGGCCCAGAGTTCAGGCCCCACGACCGGACCCTCCCCCCCAAAAAAAAAATCAAGTACAGTTCTGGCACACCAAATGAGAGGATCACAGTTCACAGGAGTGAATTAGACAAGGAGTTTGAGTCTCTATTTAAAATAACCAGTGTACTGTATCAAAAATTAACTATTCAACTTGTGGCTGGGGATGGGAATGAAAACTAGAAAAGCACAAAAGGGGTGATATTGTCCTAAAAGAAATGGACTCATTACCTGACTTATGAAACTAACTCCTCTGTATATCACCTCTATAATAACAATTTAAAGAGGAAAAAATTATAAAAATAATCAGTGGAAGAGGGGCTGGGAAGGAGGCTCAGTGGTAGAGTGCTTGCCTTGCATGCATGAGGCCCTGGGTTCGATTCCTCAGCACCACATAAGCAAAAAGAAAAAAGCC